AGTTAAACAGAATCCAAATTAAATGAGAGCTAGGTGGGCAACGCGCGGTACGTACGTAAAAGGTGGTGACGGTGCCGGCGGAGTTTCCGGGGACGAGCTTGAGGCGGACGTCGAATCTCCCGAAGAGAAAGTCGCTCTTGGATTGAAAGCCAGAGCCGGAGGAGTGGTCCAAGGTCAGGTTGAGTAGGCGCCCGCCTTCCAGGACCTTCACGCGTTCGTCTCCGCCGTAGGTTGGCTGCGTGTCCTCGTAGAAGTTGCCGGCGGCGGAGGCTGGCAGTATGACGGAGGTCATCAGTAGGATTAGCGCTAGTGATGATGAGATCACCGGCGGGACAAACAGGAACTTCATATCTGAAATAATTATTAGTGGCCGGATTATTGATTCTTTGTGCTGAATTCTGATTATTATTAGTAAGATAGATGGGTTAATTGAATAAGATAGAGAAGTGGCCTAATTAAGCGCATATATTTATAGCTGCAATTGTATGAAGAATCGAGGAAGGAAGGCGAGCTGGCGGTGGTGCTTAGCTGTTGGTAGGTGGTGCGCGTTTCAGTCAGGGACCCCGTTCAAGTTTTCAACACAAGAAAAAATGGATTACGACAAGAGTATGTAAGGATTATGCTATGTGTACCCCAAGGTTTGTACCCCAATTTGTACCCCATAGTTTTGCACTAACACTTTGTGTTGGTGTAAAACTAATTTTTGTTAAACGCACCAACATTTGTGTCCGTGTGAATTTTTATTAACGCACCAACACTTGTGTCGGTGTAAACCATCGAAATGTTTGTGCAAACCTGTGGTGTACAAATGGGGTATATTTTTTGGTGTAAGTGTAGCATGGTTCAGTATGTAATAAATGTGTAAGTGGATCACAGCTCTCCCCTTTCCTTCTTATGCTTAACGGTCTTTTTATTTGGTTTTTGTATTTTGTCTCACTCAATAATGCTATGCCGTTTTGGGGGCAACTCTGAGCTGTACTCTTTTTATTTCTTCTCTATTGGCGTTTGGTAGTCTGATTATTTATTGCCTGTGGGCATTGCACGGTTGATAAAGGCGATTAATGTAAAGAAAGTAAGACCTGAGTTTGATACTCCTTCCGTTTCTTAAATCTCTTCTTCTTTCATTTTTTTTGTTTTTCTTAAAACACTTCCGTTTTCTATTAAAAAACCACTTTACCCTTACTTTTTCATACCCTACCTATCAAATCATACTTTTTCACTAACAACTAAACTATCACATCTTACTTTTACCCATCACATCAAGAGCAAAAATGGAAAGTCAACTACAATTTAACACTTCCTTATTTTCCCACAAAGTCAAAAGAGGAACTCTTTTGAGAAACGGAGGTAGTATTTGTTAATTGAGGTAAGAGATATTTAGGCTAAACACAGGGTCTTTGTAAGTATCAAATGCAGATTTCACTCTATGTCACCAATATGCGATCAAAGTCTAATTTACTTTCCGTTAGTAACCGTTCGGTCGGGTCTGACGAGCTTCTTAGGGATAGGGTTCATCCTTTTGGTATTGTGTTCTTTTATAGGAAGTACAGAGTAGTATGTAACATTTCATCCTTAGACCATGTATTATGAAGCGTGAGTGGCGCCGTGTGTGACCCCGTCACAGCATGATGCCAGCGCAATGACCAGCATGAAAATGATACTAATACTGATTTATGGTTGAAAAGTAGCAAAATAAGATTTTTCCAAATTTAATTTCCAAACACTCAAGTTTTTGATCAGTATGGAATACGCTGTGGCGGTAGCTTGCCACCGTCTGGCTGTACATGCTACTATCCGACGGTAGCTTCCTACCGCTACCACGTACTGATTCAAGTTTTGAACAGTACTTCGTCTTCAACATCAATTCAAACTTAATTTATCTTTACAAAATTTTTTCTCTAACATTCATTAACCATTTTTAAACAATCAATTCGAAGCTTAACAACAATTTGAAAGTTTATTATGGTTCTTAGTTCATCAAAAACATATGGGAGAAAAACCAAAATAGCACTCTAAGAACATTAAAATACTCTAAATAGCAGTGCTATATGTTTCATACATGTAATTCCGATTTTGTCCTTTAATTAAACAGTATATGTTCATTATTCACTGCCAAAAAATATGATTATTTTGGGCAGTGTGGTTGTTCACTCGTAATTGTGTAGTGGGCAGTGTAGTTTTTTATATGTGAGTTTTTTATGTGGCAGTGTAGAATGAATATATGTTGTTATATCTTACGGCGATGTGTAAATGTATTATTGTGTTCCTTAATTTCATGTTGTAGTGTAATGTCCATTGATTTATGTGGCAGTGATTTCACGTATTAATTCTACACTGTCAAAAAATGTATGACTAATTTCATCTATGAATTCCACACCGCCCAAAAAATGTATAGCTCTTTTTATGTATGAATTCCACACTATTTTCATGTATGAATTCCACACTGCCAAAAATGTATATGATTGTTTTCATTTATGAATTTCACACTGCCCAAAAATGTATGACTGATTTCATGAATAATCTATTACACCAAAACACACTGGCCAAACATGGGCTTGACTTTTTTTGAACTTTCTTGATTTTGAATAATGTTAGAAGATGTTAGTATTAGACATATGTTGAATTTCATTTATGTGATAGTGAAAAGAAACGGATAATGAAGGTATTATGTTGTAAATTTTAAGACTTTGTAAGCAGCATATACTGCAACATTATGTAAAATTGT